TATCGGCCAGGAAGCGTAGGACATTCCTCAGCGCGCGAGCTGCAGGGTCAGAGGTCAGAGGTGTAAGGTGAGTATCTGCAGGCGTATGGCAAACGTGGTCGGTCAGACACACACTGTCTCCTATAAGGCCTCAGCCCGCCCACAGTGCTACACACCTCAGGCCCAGCCTCCTTCCTTTACCAAACACAGAAACAACTTAAAATCTGATGTCAGCGACACCTGTTCTGTTCTGGGCGGGGCCTGCAGCTCTCTGAGAGTGTGGATCCCCAGGTATGCGCATGGAAGGTGTGAAACTGCAGCTGAGCAGCCAACTGTAAATGACTGTGGGTGAAACCATCAGTCCTCTTTAACACAGGGCTGCACTTCCTGCCTTCACAGCATGGTTCGGGTCAGTTTTCCTTCATCTACACCAAATGAGAAAGTCTGAAGAGCCTATTTGAGATAAATACATGCTTTTACAATCTTATGACCCTCTGAGGCGTCTTTGATGTTTGTTAGCTCAGTGAAAGTGTTTTCTAATTGGTTCATTTTGTTATGTCACAGGTGCAAAGCTTGCATTTATATTGCATGTACCACTGTCGAATGACTAACTTGTCTTTGGGACAGAAAGAAACGTACAAACTGTGCACAGACATGCCCCGGCTGGGATTTGAACCAGGAACCTTCTGTCTGTGAGGATATAGTGCTGACCACTGTCGCACCATGCACTGGATCTGGTGGCTGCATCTGCAGGAACTGCTGTCCCATATCAGCTGGTTAAAGAGGCTGCCTTACCAACATGGCGGATGCTGTCTGTCATAGCGTAGATGAAGTTCTGGACTCTTCCTGCGACGGCGTACGCGTTTCTGCTGATCTCCCTGATGTGGTCCAACACGGCTGCAAACCAACAAAAACACTGACGCTCACAGCTCGCCACATTCATCTGATTTGTGACTGGATCAGAGAGAATTATATGAATCCATGAAACTGGATAAAAACGGCAGCAACTGATATAAAATTCACATTTTGTTTAAAATTCTATTAAATTTCAATATGAAACACGAGTGGTAAATTTTTAGGAGCACTGGCGGCTGTAACTGCAGTGGGTGTGGGGGCGGGTCTTACAGAAGAGGGGCGTGGCTGCTTTCTGCATCAGTTCCTGCGTTTGATTGGCTGCCAGCTCAGCTCCACACAGCAGGCTGGAGGCGGCTCGCTCGGTGTTCTCCAACGTGTTGCTGAGCGGACCGGACACGAGCAGCGACACGAACATGAGGAGGAGGAAGTTCCTGCCATGACCTGAAACACAGGAAGAGAAGCGCTGTGACGGCGTGGACCTGGCGTCTAATTCAGAAGCTCTGATTGTCCACCTCTAATCGGGAATAGTGACTCTGCTGGGAACTCCATGTTTATTTGGGACCTTGGGATTCAACCTCCACTTCAGAGCTCGTACTGTATCAGGTCCATTTGTGTTTGGGAGGAGGTCCAACTCTGTTTGAAGGTTAGGGAGCACGTAGAGTGTGTGTTGCTTTAAATCTGAGAACTCTATTTGTGCCGTTTTAGAAGTCTGCTCAGAGATTTCATACCTGGAAGCTCATAAGTGGAGAGTAGGGCTGCCACAAACGATTATTTTGATAGTCGACTAGTCACCGATTATTTTTGTGATTAGTTGACTAATCAGATCATCATCCATTGGACGTAAAACGTACAGCTTATTGCACCAGCAGCATCTGCTCTTATATAATAATAATAATGGATTGCATTTATATAGTGCTTTACAATGCCACTATTCAGTCACTCTCACATTCACACACTGGTGGAGGCAGCTACAGGTGCAGCCACAGCTGCTCTGGGGCAGACTGACAGAAGCCAGGCTGCCATATCGCGCCATCGGCCCCTCTGGCCAACACCAGTAGGCAGAAAGGTAAAGTGTCTTGCCCAAGGACACAACGACCAGGACAGAGAGCCCAGGGATCGAACCGGCGACCTTCCGGTTACAGTTACAGATATAACTATCATTAGCTTACAGCTTTAAGTGTTTAAGGTATGTGCTAACTAAAAATAAAGACAAGATGAGAGTTTATTAAATTTTAATGACATTTGCAGATTGTTTCAGTGGATTTTAATCTGTTTGACGTTTATTCAGCTGTGTAAAAACTATAACTTTAATCTCAGCCAAACCGATTTACTCAGGAACAAATAAAATACTAAAAAAAGCCAAACAACAACATTTTAAGTTATCTAAGTGACTCATATATCATGTTTAACCTGAGTAGCGAAAGACGGCGGTGGGTTTGAAAACGATTTGCCGGGAGTCCGGTGTTCTCACGGCGCTAGTGACCTAGCCCCCGGCTAGCTATCGAGCTAGTGGGTAACAGACGTCTCCGAAAACGTCGGAGCGCTTTTGAAAATATGTGGTGTCCTGATAAACTGAGCAGATATTTGAGGTTTACACAGCTACATTCTCGCCTGAAAATATGTTAAACGTTTATTTTGTGACCCAGAAAGAATAATAAGAGTAATATTAAAACTAACTAGCTGCCGCCATTGTTGGAAACTGAGCTGGGCCGCGCTATGAATTCTGGGACACAGCTTCTTCTTCTTCGGGGTTTAACGGCAGCTGGCATCCTTGTACATGCAGTGCTGCCATCTTCTGTTTCAGTCCGTTATTACACTCTTAAATCCTGCTACTTATTCCTGCGTCTTTTGTGATCTTACAAAGCTTCAAACGACGCGTCGACTATTAAATCAGTCATCGACGATTTTGATAGTCGACGTAATCGTGACTAGTCGACCAATCGTGGCAGCCCTAGTGGAGAGTCACGTTTTTTCTGAATCAACATGGAGGCTCTAACTTGATTTATGAGTCCTAACTCATCCCTTTGAGCTATGACGTCATTTAGAAATGCTTCTCTGTTTTGGAAGCTCATCTTACTCGACCGGTAGTGTAAGCGCCACAATACTAGAAGACTGTTTACTTGACTTCATATCTAGATTTTGCACAAGAACAGCATGATGAATTTGAATTTCTTAAAGTTGTTCCCTTTAACACAGCGAGTGACGTCGTGGACAAAGATGGAGAGCTGCGTGTGACGATGTCATTTTGATCATTTCAAAGCAGAAGTTTTCAAACTGAATTGTACAGGAGCTCAGAAGTGTCTTATTTAGAGCTTTAAAGGGCAATAACAGCTCGACCTCTCAGAGTTTTCACCATCTGAATATTGGCGCGCAGTCTTCGAGAGCTCTGTACGGCGTCACCTGTGGTCGTAACTTTATTCAGGAGCTTTTTGAGAGCTCTGACTTCAGTTAGAAGCTCTGCTGTCTGTTTCAGAGCTCTGGCTGTTATCGGAAGCTCGTCCTCTGTTTGGAGACTAAAAGAAGTTGGGCTGACGGGATCACTACCATCCTCATGTCATCCAAGAAATGTCTGTTTTTAAATTATTTTTATTCTTAATTTACAGAGTTTATAAGTTTCTTTAGTAGCAGTAGCACTAACGATGAGGACTTATTACAACACACAATATTGTCATTTTTGGGATGTTTTTCTCTTCTACAGCAGGTCAGATTTATATCGATGAACAAAGAGAGGATCGGTATAAAACCTTGAAGGCGCGTCGCTGACAAACCTGAGCACATGGAGGGCAGCATGACCATGACGCTGGCCCTGACGCTGACCGACAGCCCCATTCCGAACGCTGCCAGACCGGCCAAGCCCAGCGTGGTGTGGGCCCAGAACCACAGCGGCTGTTTCTGCAGGAAGAGAGTCATGAGTCCGTACAGAGACGCGATCAGCAGCCCGGATACAAACGCCACCATCCTCTGCCCCACCTCCACCAGGTGAGCTCTGAGCTTCCTCCTGCCGCTGAGACGAGGGCGTCCCGCCGGTCTGTGGAAGCAAAAACAGTGAACGACATGTTCACTAACCTGCAGCACCACATAGACATGAAGCTACAGTGCTGCCACCTGCAGGCTGTGACGTACAGGCGGATTCACAGTGGCTGGGATATTTATCAAAGATCCGTCTTTGTAGGACAAATTAAATAAAAAACTAATAAAAGTTTAAAACATCAGCCCTGTCTTATTGTATTTAACAAACATGTCTCAGGACTACCTCACCTTCTACCTGCCTTTTCCCCGAGACTCGTCATTTCAAACACAAAAGGCTGAAAAGCCTGATTGTTGTTCCTGTTTGCATCGCGCTGGTGGACAAACAGAGACGACTACAACGGAGTAACAGACTTTAAAACTATCTGTGAGTTCTGAGTAAGAATAAACAGCTACGTGTCTCTGTTACACCGTTTTAATGTCGGATTAATGGAATAGAAACGATGAGTTTCAATGTCAGCTGTGAGTGCGCGCTGTGCAGTAAGGTCTGCACAGACACGGTGACGTCGGCGAGGTCTGATGCTGGGTGTGAAACCAGAGATGATAACCCGTGTGCTGCCCCGAAGCACACGTCTGTTTGTCCTCGCCTTTCACCCTGATGCAGGTCGTAACTTACAAAATACCATCCTGTTGTGTAAACTCATCAGAGTCCACTGACGTCAAGCCAAGTGAGAACTCTGGGGCTGTTTCCCCAAATAAAGCCGGAGGAGCCCCGCCCCCCACGGATGAATGTTGGGTTCACTTTCAGATGCTTCCATCCTTTATATACAGTAAAATAATTTGCAGGAAGTGAATAGGAGGGAAGTTAAAATGTTCTGTGATGAGGCTGTGGAGCAATAAATGTGAGCACAAATCATTTTTTAAAAAGGTGAAAGGTTAAGATCCAGGTCACTCTAAATGAGAATGTGTTAGCTCAAAAGCTAACAGTTAGCACTCAGGTGAATCTGGTTCCTCTACCTGCTCAGAGCTCCTCGGATAGTCTCTGTGACTCCGCCCCTCTTCACCTGGACTGAGATGTCACTTTTCATCAGGAGCTGTTTCCTTTCTTCACTCCTCATCTTCATCTTTTACACCAGGGGAAACGTTTCCGCGTCACCTGGAAACCAGAGACACATCACGTGACAGGCCGAAGCTAACAGAAGCTCCAACAGTCAAACGACGATACGTTTGTAAGCGGTGTGCGCTTGAACGCAGGTTAGAGGAGCGATTTGTGGTGAATGATGGCTGACACCGGGACACGTCACAGCCGTGAGTTCACCCACAACAACTCAAAACTCAGGTGGTGGAGCTGATCAGCCCCGAGGCTGCCAGCCGACGGTCAAAACCTGTTTCCAGGTGTTTGTGCTTCCTTACAGCGGCGCACAGGTGCGTTCAGACCATCCTGCCTCCAGTTGTCCATCGGTTCCTCTTCAGCCAATCAGAGGAGTTTCCGGTGGCTCGCCCGCTCTTCAGGGCGCTGTTTGGAGTAGCGACCGGCACAGGTAACACCTCCAGCGACACACCTGGGCGGTTCATCTCTGAGCTTCGATCCTCACATGTTGGAAACCAGCGCGGGCATCAGAGCGAAAAGACGCCGCAGAGCTGCGCTCATTTTGGGGCCGATCAGCTGTTCGTAGGAAACAGAGCGCACAGAATCAGCCTCTCATTAAATAATTTCATTCATGTAATATACTAGCTGATGTTATTATGACTTAGTCACATTGTTGTTGTCTTTATTTTTAATATTGTGTAATTTTATCATTTGTTACTATGAATATAACGAATGCAAAGCTCTTCTTTTACTTTCCAGCTGTTTTTATTATTATTCTGAAAGGTTGTTAGAAAAAAGCCGATGTGATGTTTGACTCCTGTTGTTGTTCGTCTCACCATCAGTCTTGTTCCTGGGCATTGCCCACAACCTCCCGCTGACCTTTGACCTGAAGGTGGCAGTAGGATGTTTGTTTGTTGGTGAGGCGAGGTCGCACACTCACATCTATTCTTTGAAGCACGTTTGAAACACGTGGAGATCTGACCGAGTGTGTGTTTCAGCTGTGTGTCTCGCAGGCGGACTCCTGTCTTCGTCCTTCAGGTGTTCGGTCCTCCTCATGTTTCCCAGCATGCTCGGCTCCCGTGGCCGCTCCTACCTGATCCTGCTGGCCCTGTCTGTGCTGTACGCAGGTAAACAGACGCCTGTGCAGAGTGTGCACACGGCTCAGTGTGGCCGTCACGGTCAGTGCCGTCATCTTTTTCATGGAGTCGTATCAGAAACATTCTCGTGTCCAGTGAGTCCAAAGTTTCATGAATCTGCAGGAATCGGCACATGTTTGGCTTTTTAACTGAAAAAACAAAAATAATGAGCTCAGAAGGAGATGGAGGGAGGATCCACTCCTCTCGTCTGTACCTGTGAAAGCACAGATATCCAAACTGTCTTCAGTCTGCTCCCCTCGCTCGTGTGTTTGGTCAGAATCCCTGAAACCAAATCATTGATGCGTCATTTAGAAAAAAACATAAAACCCACAAATAACTTTTCTACAAGCTCCACTGTTTCATGTCAGCAAAATATTGATCAGCAGGACAGATTTAATAACACTTTATCAGCAAACATTCAACACTGTTAAAAACAAAGTGCAGCAATCAAACCAGCAGAGGTCAGTGCTGTCTGAAGTCACACAGACCTGCTCCCGTGTGACTTTGGGATAGGCTGATATACTGATCAGTGTTAAAGAGTTCAGACAGCACCAACAATCAATGTGCGCGTCGTCCCGAGGGCTCAGGCTGAGGCCGGCTGCACTTCCTTTTGGTTCATGAAGACGTTTCACTCTTCAGTTTTAAAGATGAGAAGCTTCTTTGTTGAGAGGTGAAATGTTTCATCCTCATGAACCAAAAACCTTCATTTCGACCACTTAGGATGAATGAATGCTAAATACATATGAATGAATTAACAGCTACAATGTCAAAGACTACAAAGAGCTCTCATGTGATGGAGTGACATAAAAGCGAGTGTTGGAACGTGTTTAAAGCAGCGGTCTCCAACCCCCGGGCCTCGGCCCGGTACCGGTCGTTTGGTACCGGGCCGCCAGAGTTGAGGCTCAGGTGTGAAATGTCTGGTTTTCAGGGTTTTTATCGTTAACTTAATTTCCCTGGCTCTTTTCCCGCATGTTATGAATAAATAGGTGTGTTATGAATAAATCTTCTTTTTTTCGGTACCGGTTTTATTTTGTTGTATTTATCCGCGACACCTTAAAGGCCGGTCCGTGAAAATATTGCGGGCATAAACCGGTCCGTGGCGCAAAAAAGGTTGGAGACCACTGGTTTAAAGGACGCCACTGATCCTGTGAGCCTGCACAGTAACATTTATGAGTCTGAGTCGTCCAACATTAAAGTGCACTGAGACAGTCAGACAGACTGGGTCCACAGGCCTCACTGGACCCAGTCTGTCTGTGGCTGATTAAATCTTTTACTAAATACATAATACAACATGCAGATAGGATTGGTTACCTCAGCGGCTGAATGGGTCTGATTAACATGTCTTCAGGTGAGTTTTGTGTCATGTGATGCTGCGTCCCGTCTGCAGGCCCAGTTTCAAACATCCAGCGTAACGTGGAGGCCGCCGCCGTGTCTGTGAGCTGCAACCTGGACCTGCAGGTCCGTCACAGCAAGCTACTGTGGAGAGAAGCCATCAAGCCATTTTTGATCATCACACAGGAGCTCATGGTGAGAGGAATATGTTTCAAAGCTCCTCTAGTTTAACATAATAATAATTATCACCCTACCTACTGCCATGAACATGAAGCTGAGGGGCCTCAGATCTTTTGCTTCTCTTCCAGGATGATAAAGAAGGTTTTGAGTTGGAGGCTTTAAATGTCAGCAAGAAGTTTCAGGACATCAGAGACGAGATGGTCCTTCAGTACGGATACGACCGATTCGAATCTAAACAAGGCGGCGGTAACAGCACCCAGGAGGAGTTCACCGCCAAGACCCTAAAGCAGTGCGACAGTAAGTCAGAAACACCAGACGTGAAGTTGAAAGGTTTCAGGCAGGAAACGCAATACAGAAGGAAACTGTTGATCATCATCCTCGTGTCACCAATACGAGAAAACAATCGCTTTAAATGTCGTCACTAATGTGATTCAAAATGATTTCACACCTGCTTCACAAACGTCATTTAAAGATGAGAACTCGCGCGTGGTTTGATCCCCAGGTGTGGTTGCTCAGGGTGTGCAGCGGTGCGTCGATTGGTTCGCCAACAGGTGGACGGCGTGTTTGGAGGCGATCCCCGTCCCCGTCATCAACTACATCCTCTGCATTTCAATGAAGTTTCACTTCCTGTGTGACATCATGAAAGGTAAAAGGTTATACGTACCACGGCGTCATGAAATATCCACATCCAGCTGACCCCGCGGTCTCTACTCTTTCCAGTCAGACATTTCTAACTCACAAACATCAGCATCAGAATACATTTAAACTGACACCAGAAAGTCTTTGCTTTAAAAAATAAAACTGAAGTTGGGCTCCGGCGCTTTGGTGTAATACCACTTTGAGCCACAAGGTGGCACTGAGTTTAGCATCCAATCACAACACAGCATGACAACACTATTATTGTTAGCTCGGTGCTAGTTTGACATTTGTACAGAATTCACATTAAAGTAATATTTAGCGACTTGTTCTGGGAGCTCGAAGAGTAAAAACGAGCAGTTATATTTTTAAATAGTAAAGAAACGACTACACGAAACCTTTCTGGTAAACGCTGCCATCTTGTGGTGGAAGTTTTTATTAAATTTAGCTCAAGGTTTTGCAAAAAGCACCTTTAAATTTGAAGGTGTGCAAACATAGGCTTCAGTGCTCTGAGCGGTATATCGTACTCAAGTGTCCTCAAACGTAAACGGCAGATTATTTTTGAGTTATTATTTCAGGGTTGATAGTCTTGGTGTTTTGGTGACTCTTCTGTGGTGCTGAAAAGGCAGCTGCTGTGATCTTTAGTTCTTCTCCTCCCGTCAGTCATGACTCCGTGGTGCAGGGACAACATTCCCGTGGAGGGAAACTTTGGTCAACTCTTCGACCGGCTGAATGTTTCGGTTGACCTGCTGTCCAGAGAGTTCAGCGCCGAGCTCACTGTAGAGGTCAGACCTGCACCGCCGGTCCTCTAGCACCACCCACAGGACGAACCCAGAGTCGGCTGAAATGTAACCTGCGTGTCGTCTCGCAGGAGGAGGAGCAGCCGGCGCTGAGCGAAGCTCTGCTGGACCAACAGTTCACCAACGCTGTCAAAACATCCTTCCAGAAACTGACATCAACGACGGGACGGGTGCTGAACATCCTGCAGATGCTCCTCTCCTTAACCTTCATCACCATCTTCACCCAGTAAGAGTCTCACCTTCACCTTCATCCCGTTAAGATTCACACCTTTATCTCCATCTTCTTTTCTCCTCTGCAGGGCGTTTGGGTACCTCTGGCAGTACAACAGGGACATTTGTTTCGACAACGTCTACATCACCACCTACTTCAGACAGATCGATGCCCGCAGACGGAAAGCGGTATCATTCTCATCCTCATCATCCTCACTTCAGTACAGTCCACGGTCTGACCGTCCTGTCCTCTCCTGTGCTGCGTTTAGGGGAAGCGCTGCCTGCTGCCTCTGAGGAAATCTGAGAAAAACAAGCTGATCAACCCCTGCAGTCTGAAAATTTACCCCGAAGAGGTCAAACAAGTGGTGCGTTCAAGAGCAGTAACTCTGGTAGTATTTATGTAGTGTTTCACAAAGTGCTTCACAGGAAATAATCCACTGTAATAGCAGCAGTGACGCGACTCCTCAGTTCTTTGCACTCACCTAAAAATCAGCAGATTTGTTAAAGGATCATTACCCTAAATACCACTTTTCCATCTTTTTAAGTTTAAGTTATTTTTATAAATAACGTGTTTAGACGTGGTCCAATCAGAGTGCAGCACTCTCACAAACAGGTATGCAGCAACAGCAGATTTCTGTCCCGTTATAAATTCAAGGTGCAATTTCAGGACACAGTCTGTGTTCAGCCAAATACACCCAGAAAAGGTGTAATACACATTTTACTGTTTTTATAGCTGATGATCACAGTTTAGTTAAATAAAGATAAAAAAGTATTTGAGGTTGTGACTTTGAACCTTGTCCCCGTGCCTGGCAGGTTTTTCATTTACAGTGGGATGCAAAAGTTTGGGCGGCCTTGTTCATAGTCATTATTTTCCTGTATAAATCGTTAAATATAAGCGTCAGTTAAATGTATCATATAGGAGACACACAGGGATGTTTGAGAAGTGAAATTAAGTTTATTGGATTTAAAGTGTGCAAGAATTGTTTAAACAAAATCAGGCGGATAAATAAATTTGAGCTCCACAAAAAAAGAGATGAAATTAATATTTAGTAGATCCGCCTTTTGCAGAAATTCCAGCCTCTAAACGCTTCCTGTGGGTTCCAATGAGAGAGGATTGTGGTTGAAGGTATTTTGGACTGTTCCTCTTTACAGAACATCTCTAGTTCATTCAGGTTTGATGGCTTCCGAGCATCAACAGCGCTCTTTAACTCACACCACAGGTTTCAATAATATTCAGGTCTGGGCTGAGATGAACGTTGTACTTGTTCCTCTGCATCAATGCTTCAGTGGATTTTGAGCGTTGTCTTGTTGAAAGATCCAGCCCCGGCGCAGCTTCAGCTTTGTCACTGATTCCTGGACATTGGTCTCCAGAATCTGCTGATACTGAGTGGAATCCATGTGTCCCTGAACTTTGACAGGATTCCCAGTCCCTGCACTGGCCACACAGCCCCACAGCGTGGTGGAACCAGCACCATATTTTACTGGAGGCAGCAGGTGTTTTCCTTGGACTGCTGTGTTCTGTTTCCTCCGTGCATAACGCCGCTTGTTATGCCCAAATAACTCAGTTTTAGTTTCATCAGTCCACAGCACCTTATTCCAGAATGAAGCTGGTTTGTCCAAATGTGCTTCAGCAAACCTCAAGCGGCTCTGTTTGTGCTGTGGGCGGAGCAAAGGCTTCCTCTGCATCACTCTCACATGCAGCATCTCCTTGTGTAAAGTGCGCCAAACGATGGTTGAACGAAGCACAGCGACTCCATCTGCTGCAACATGATGTTGCAGGTCTTTGGTGCTGGTCTGTGGGTCGACTCTGACTGTTCTCACCGTTGCTTCTGTCTATCTGAGATTTTTCTTGGTCTGTCACTTCCAGCCTTAACTTGAACTGAGCCTGTGTTCTTTCATTGTCTCAATATGTTCCTAACTGTGGAAGCAGACAGCTTAACTCTCTGAGGCGGCTTTCTGTGTCCTTCCCACCATGATGCTGAACAGTCTTTGTCTTCAGGTCATCTGACAGTTGTTTTGAGACCCATGTTGCTGCTCTTCAGAGAAAATTAAAAGAGGAGGGAAACTTACAATTGACCCCCTTAAATACTCTTTCTCATTATTGGATTCACCTGTGTATGTAGGTCAGGGGTCACTGAGCTTACTGAGCCAATTTGAGTTCCAACTATTAGTTCTGAAGGTTTTGGAATCAATAAAATGACAACAGATTTATGCACCTGCCTGATTTTGTTGAAACCATTCTTGCACACTTTAAATCCAATAAACTTCATTTCACTTCTCAAACATCACTGTGTGCGTCTCCTGTATGATATATTTAACTGACAGTTTTTATTGTACCAACCAACCATTTATACAGGAAAATAATGACTATGAACAAGGTGGCCCAAACTTTTGCATCCCACTGTAGCTGCAGAATTTCCAGTCTTACTGCTGCTTTGCACCACTTCCTGTTTCAACCCCTCATTAACCCCACCTTTCACTCCCCACCTGTCTGTGTGTAGCAGAGCTCAGAGCCAAGACAGCAGACTAAAGTTTGTGTGTGTGTGTGTGAGTGTGTGTGTGTGTGTGTGTGTGTGTGTGTGTGTGTGTGTGTGGGTGTGTGTGTGTGTGTGTGCGTGTGTGTGTGCTTAGGTCTTTCCCTGCTGGTCTGTGTCTGCTGACTGTCGACTCTCCTGTCCAACGTCCGGAACTCATCAGTATGACTAAACACCCACTCTCTTTCACTTCACCCACACACACACACACACACACACACACACACACACACACACACACACACACACACACACACACACACACACACACCACTCTCCAGTCTTAAATCCCACACATGGGTCAGCTGTGTGCAGGGCAGGTGATTTGAACATCAGCTGTTTGGAGCTGCTGGGGGTCATTTCGATGTCCTGCTGAAGGACCAGCAGGATGACTGGAGTGAAAGAGGTTTAAAACCTGTATTAAGTAACACTTCATATAAGTGGAGCTGATATCAACACTTGTGTTTGAAACTCTGTGAAACACACAAACTGGACAGGATATATTCTGTTTTCGCCGCGCGTCAGGTTGGCGATCTGTCCGAGGTGCACCCCGCCTCTCGTCCCGTGGTAGCTCCAGCTCCCCCACGACCCATAAATAATAAATATTTTATTTAACCTTTATTTATACAGGTAGTCCCATAATAAATGTTACTCTGCTCTTATCTCATGTGTTTGGGTTTATCTTACAGAAATGCTGCAGACTGAACTCGCTGACTGCAGGGAGTTTCACTTTCTGACTCCGCCCCTTCTCTGCAGGTAGTCACCAGGTGGACATCAGAGTGGGAGGGGACACCATGATGGCCCGCCTCCTGAGGACGACAATTTCAGCCTTCAACAGCTCGTCCACCCTCAATATCCAAAGTGATAACCAGGGTGGGTCATAGGTCAAAGGTCACACAGGATTTGTTTAGCATGTATTCAAATTCACCAGATCAACCAGAGAATCAGGCCTAAAAGATGACCACCAGAGGGCAGTATACAGTACTGTTACACATGCATCGTCCTGACAGCACATTTTAATGACTCCGATTTTCATGTTGATGAGCACAGGCGCTAATTAAATCAGACTGATTTTACTATGTGTCCATGTGCGTCAGTTACATCTCTGACACGGGAGTAAATGTCCACGTTTGCTTTGTTGGACGCAGAAAGTTTCAGTCTCGACTGCCGAACTTTTGCTGACAGCGCAGTTTGTCTCAAACTACACACAAAAGTGTCCCACACCTCTTCCTCTCCCCCCTCAGAGTGCATGTCCCCCCCCTCCACCCTCTCTGCTGAGGTCTATGTGAGATGTGTGTGTTGTGTCCTGCTGGTGGCGCTGTTCAGCTGCCTTCAGATTTACACCAACCGGCTCCGGCATGTCATTGCTGCCTTCTACAACCCCAAGGTGAGCGCACACGCATGCACGCGCACACACGCACACACACGCACGCACACACATGCACACACACACACACATGCACGCACACACACGCACACACACACACTTTTGCCTGTGGAATAAAATAAAGTAAAACATCGTCTGCAAGCAAACATATGATTGTATGACACTAACATGCTAATTTTTCATAATCCACATTAATGTTGGCACAGTAACACAGTAGTGCTTGAGTAAACAGGTGGCTCTGCGATGTTGCAGTTTACACGCTCACCTAACTTCTAACATGAAACAGGATCGAGACCAGAAGTAGCTGTAATGTCTCCTGAGGACATGCAGCACCGAAACCTGGGAATCAAATATGTGGAGCCAACAGAATGGAGAACAAAACAACCCATAGTTATGTATTAAAATTGTACTTTGAGACATCATCATGCAGGGTTTCTGGGTAATTCCTCTCTGGCCTGTCCACATACATTTGGCTGTAAAGTGCTGTGTGCCCTCCTCCCCCCTCCTTTCCTGCCACATAAATATATAAAGAAGCTCCTTCATGTGTGAGAACAAATCAAATGTGTCAACTCGACTTAAGTTGGTGTTAAATCCAGATAAATCCAAGTTCATGTTATTCTTGAATGGCAAAGAGTCGCTAGCTACGTCTCCTAAGATTAAAACAATTCAAGGAACTGAAATTTAAATGGTCACATGTATCTAGGGATCATTATAGATCAGAATTAGTCATTTAAGACTCACATTCAAAGGCTTGTGTCGAAGTTAAAACTAAAACGAAGTTACTTTTTTAGAAATCCCTCCTGTTTCTCCCTCCAAGTGAGGAAACGCTTGATTCATGCAACTTTTTTACCTTTATTGGATTATGGTGACCTGCTTTTTATGAATGCACCTGCACACCGCCTACGAGGTTGGAAACTGTGTACCATTGTGCTTCATGTTTTATTACTGGCTATGGAAATCCACCTTTTGCATATTCAGACTCTCCCACTGGTTGATCTTTATCCATAAATCTCTGCTTGGGCTGGTTCCCTCTTATCTGTGTGTTTATATGTGTAAAAACCACAACCAATACAGCCTGCGTTCTCACAATATCATACAAATGATTGTCCCAACAATCAGAACAGAATTGGAGAAAAAGGCTTTTAAACACGCCGCCCCTGCTTCCTGGAATCATCTGCAGGAGGAACTGAAATGATCAGAGCTGGTTCCCTCGGGGAGTTTAAGTCCGTCTTAAAGGAGAATAACTCTTTTACTCAGTGTGATGGTTTTTAATGTCGCTCTGAATTCGATCTGTTATTGTATATTTTTCACATGTTCGTACAGGATGTTGTATTTGTTTTAAATGTCATACACTTGTGTGGTACGTGTATCTTTACTTTTGTTGCCATGATGCCAGGTCTCTCTTGGAAATGAGATTTTTAATCTCAAAGAGATTTTTTACCAGGATAAATAAAGGACTGAAAATGTCATCTGCATACAGAGACATTAAATGAGAACAAAACTGATGTTGCATCTCTGATTTGTGTAAAATCAGAAGTTTGTGTGGCGTTAATATTTCGAGTTCTCTGTGTTTCGGTGATCGTTCAGCTCAGACTTCAGTGAATATCAAAGCGTTTCCTTCGTGTGTGTGTGTGTGTGTGTGTGTGTGTGTGTGTGTGTGTGTGTGTCCATTTCCTCATGGCGGTGTTTGTTGTGTTTGGTCACGACTGATCACAAACAGACAAACAGAGATTCGGATGGAGCGCGTGCAGCGGCCGGGTCGCTGTGCCGTCTGTAGCGACAATAGCAGTATTTGTTGTGTTTATTAGTAAACAAAGAAACATGAAACGAGTGTTTGTCTTGGTTTGAGCGCACGCCGTGATGTCACTTCCTCTCCTGAACTGATGAAGAAGTAAACCGCTCAAACTCATTAGCACGCACGCTCTGTTTAAACCCTGGGAGATGCTGTAAATCTGATCTGAGAGCAGATTAGTGTAAGAGCATTACAGCTGAGCTGACTGTGGCCGAGAGACATTCAGATAGAGCGAGAGAGCGAGCGAGGCTGTGAATGAATGAGCTTCAGGTGCACACGTGTTCTGCACATTCACACTCAGCACTTTGCAGTCCAGCATCAGCTGCTGCTGCTGACACGTTCACACGGAGGATCAGAGAGTACTCGGATACAGCCGTGATCGAGACGTTCCTTTATCCTCAAACTTTATTTAAATCTGCTCCATTCAGGCCGTTTCCTCAGGAAGCTTCCAGTCCTGCAGCTCTGGTTCTGACCTGGAACCTGTGCCGACAGCAGCTGTAACAGGAGAACAGCTTTGTGTTATATTTCTGCACATTTTTACAGAAGTGTAAACACGTGAACATTGTATACAGATGAGATCAGGTGACAGTCATTTTAATGCAACACTGGCAAGAAAACGTCGCTTTAAACTAAATCAGTGACATAATAATAATGTGTGTTGTTGCACATACAGAGAATATATCATGTTTCTGCTGCAGAGCGTCACTCACCTGGGCACACAGTCAGCACCAGGTGATGAAGAGCAGGCCGGTCCCAGTTAAGCTTCTCTCAGCTTTGATCCAAGTGACTGAATCGCGTTTTAGATTTCAGGTCTTCGGACAGAAATGTGAAGCATATAAAGACTTTCCATGGATGTAAAACAAAACGTCGTCTCTGTCTGTGTGTCAGAGGGAGAAGACGAGGATCTTGTTCCTTTACAACCTGCACATTCACGGCCGGATTTCCAGCAGCAGCAGGAAACGCATCATCAGCCGTGGACAGAGGACGGTGAGTGGCTTCCTGCCTGTAGAACCACGTTTCACGGAGGTCTGCTCTCAGAGGTGTTTTTCACTGGGACATAAAACATCAGTCAAATCGGATTCGACACATTGCTTAAACTTTACCGATTTTTTACTCAACGTAAAGTTTTAAAAATGTTTTCTTGTCCTGGAGTTTCACCTCTGCAGCTGCAAAGTTCTCACACAGACTGCAGTTCTGGATTCTTTGTGCTACGTCTCCGTGTGTTCACGTCTCCTCTGCTGCCTTCAGGTGTTCCAGCGCCTGCTCAGGTGGGGGCACCGCCTTTGCTGACATCATCACGGAGAGGAAGCGTCCAGCTCCGAGAAGACGCACTACGCCAGCGGTTAGAGGAGAGAGAGGAAGCTCCACCTGGATGAAGAAGAAGTCGTCCAGTTTTTCGTGGCAGACTCGAGCTTCAGGCAATAAAAACACATTCAGTTCAAACTGGACTGAAGCTCGTTTTATGTTTTAGTGTGAGAGTGAGAGTGGATTTGACTCTGTGAGAGGTTTCTCTGAGCTGCATTTATTGCAAACTTTATTTTTCTGATTCAGCCTGAATAGCTGCATCCTGCTACCGTGGTAACCCACTGCTGAACGTATCCGTCTCCCATTAAACCCTGTGAAACCATCAGTGTGGTCAAACTGAGCCGACGGAACAATCAGTCATTAACTAAACTGTACAGTCAGTACATTTGATATACAGCACTGTGTGTGATCACATGATCCGATTACTCGCCGTATGTACAGAGGAGTTATGTAAGCAGCTGATCCTCTGCAGCGGCAGCAGCACGTGCCGCGTTCGCTCAGATTCAATCTGACTCTGGATCAGTTTACAGCGGTGCTCCTCTGAGGCGCTCCCTGAACTGTTTCTGACCCCAGTGACTCATAATCCTCCTGAACACACTAATTATTCAGCTCCATGTGGACCACAGGAACACCAGTAACGCTGCTTTTAAACTCACATTAGTCCTTCAAACAGACATGGCTGTCATGTTCTCTTTTTCATGAAGCAGATTAGAAAAGAAGATAAGAAAGAGATAGCATCTTTCCTCTCTCCTCTGGCTGCAGCAAGTAAAACAAAAAAAGTCATTTCAGTTACCTGAAAGAGTAAACTAGACAAACGCAAACATGTCTGTGAGCTTAAGAGTCTTTGGTTTTTTGTTCTGGTGTCTGTAGGTAGCATCAACCTGCCGAGAACTGCAGATGAAACCAGTCTTCTCCTGTAGTTTAAACAGAGAGCAGACTCTCAGCCACCTCCTCTGACTCCTACGGGGTAATGCTCATGTTTGCATTAAACGATAAAGCACCTCGAGGCAACTGTTGTTGTTTCTCAGGTCAGCCAACATGCCCCAGGCATGTAGGAGACATCCAGGAGGTATGCTACAAGATGCTGAACCACACCAACAGGCTCAACACCACCACACCCTTCTATGAAGCTCCTTCGGTTGGAGGGATGCTTAAAACAAAACAAAAGAATTAAAATTAAAGCAAAATAAATCTCTGTGATTTTGTGAAAGCTCCGACATATTTCCACACTGTTGGAGGACTCTAATATGTTTGCATGTCTTTGCTTGAATGGTTAATAATACAGCCTGGTTCAACCTGTGGACGTCACATCAAACAGGTGACAGGAAGTGTTCAAATCCACTGAAGAGTTATCATCTGTGTGTGTTGGTGTGTCTTTATTTTATTTTTTAACTTTTTATGCATGTTTTGGGAGGTTTATTTTTCACCGTCTTACTTTACTGCCTGCCTTCATTCCCACCAGAGATGGGCAGTAA